TGGAAAATGCAAGGTTTAAACAAAATGTTCATTATTTAGAAGTGCTTTCGGTAAGCTCGCTATTATGAAAAAAAAATTTAGAGCTATTAAATGAAGTGATACAAATAGGATTACTTTGGTTTTTAAACATTAATTGTCAGATTGCCACCTGTCAGAAGGTTTGTTTACAAATGGTTTAATTATTGAACAAAAAAACAAATTTGGATTGCTACGTTTCTGCCCTGTTAACAGATCATATTATTCCATTGATTTACAAGAAGTTTAAGCTCTTTTATAAAATGCTTAATTTAAATTCTAAAATTAAATGGCATTTGCATGATAAATATTTCTTCAAAATTGAAGATTATAGGAAACCTTAAATATAAAACATCATATTTATATTAAATCTAGTAATTTTAATAGAGGGGTTTAAATAAATATTAAAATACTGCTTATTAAGCACTCTGTGCCTAATTTTGTATACTAGTGTTGGGTTTTGTTTTTACAAAAGCCATGGACCACCCCCCCCCCCCTCAAAAAAAAAATAAACCAGTGGGGTATTAGAGGGAAGTGGTCATCCAGCGTTTAAGCCTAATATAACATTAAAAATGTTATTTTACAAAACAATTTGTTTAGTGGCAAATAACAGTTGTTTTTATGTTGTGGCGTTATTTCTGGGTAAACGTTAAATAATGGTAGTAGATTCTACGCAGAAAATTTTTCGCGGCATCCGCGCATATTTTTGCAGTTTACGGCAATGCGCACAACAGAAATCTGGTATTTTATCTAAAATTTTAAAATTAGAAATTATATTCATATACACTATATGCTGATATATAATTTGAGTACAGAAGTAATTAACTATACATTAAACTCTCATTAGTTGCAAGTATCAGAAATCTTAACAATTAACTTACGTAAACTAAACTGTCATCAGTGGCGGATATAAGGGGGGTTATTGGGGTTATTTACCCCCCCCTAGAATCTTGGGGGTAAATACCCCCCCCTAGAATCCTGGGGGTAAATACCCCCCCCTAGAATCCTAGAGGTAATTACCCCTGAACATATATTCAGGTCCTGAATAGCAGGGGTTACTCCACTTGCTGCCTCTAGAAGTTACAGTTTACTTCAAAAAAAAATGCATTCCCTATTGATTAGTCTGCACTCAAGTGCATTTTCATGATAGTAAAAGTTTTTGCGGCATTTTGCAGATGCCTAAACAGTTATAAGCTTTGAAAACTGTTTAAAATTTAAACAAAAAATAGAAACGGAACTTATGTATATTGATAATTAGGTTGCTAACATGGCTGCGGAACACCATGAAAACGGAAAGGCTATCTAG